CCGCGACCACCACCACAACCACCACAAAAATAAGTTAATTTCCTGAAACTCCCCATGGTCCCTTGTTTTGCCACCTAGCTGCCGGTGTGGTCCTTGCAGGTTCGTCTGCATCTGGATGCAGCTTGGGGAGGAACTTTCGACCGTATGCAGCGCTCTTGGGACTTACATGGTAGTTTTGGGAGGGTAGGGTGTGGGGCCCTTCTAGGGTTTGGCGCTCGCATTTGGAGGTAAGGCCTACATGAAGCCTTCTTCAGAGCCCAGAGTGATTCTCGATGTTCTGATCCCCTTTCAGGCTATGCATCGTAGCACTTGGGCTACATACGCTGCAGCAAATTTGGAACTGTTAATTGCCTGTTACTGTTGCCTGTTAGTTACTTTCGACTTCCCGTGGCCCAAGACAAACTCAGAGTGTTATACACGGTAGTTGAAGCTTACCCACTTAGAGAAGCTAATTCACGCTGGCATGGTTGGTTACAGCTAGTTCTGATTAGGTAGGGGGCTACGGGTGCTGCGTACCTAAATTTACTTTTCTACATTCTGGACGAGTTGGCCTACACCCACAGTCCTCATGACCCCAACGTGGTCGCCGAGTGCTGAGACACCCTGAAGGCTTTGAACTCAAGAGCCGCCGAAATCTCTGAACAGCGGAGTCACAACTGCCACCTTACCTAAAGATATTGTCCGTATCCGGCTCAAGGACCTGCGAATCTTCATTATTGGGAACTGCTTCCTGTACCCCGAGAGCACGACCACTCAAACTTGCAAGACCATGACAGCGTGATACCGACAGTGTCCCCCTACGCCCAGAATCGTATACAACAACACCTAACACCATGCAACATGCACGTGCCTAGTTTTTTCGCGTTGTCCGCGCTGGGCTTTCTATTCTCATCCTCGCACAAAGGCGATTTGTAAGTTGATGGGATCATGAAGAAGCATGGGGATGGTTACTGAGGGACCTATCTGCCTTGCCTATAACAGTCATAGAGTCAAGGGTCAGCAAAGGTGTCATGCAGCTATGTTTGCTAGCCTAAGTATAGTTCGTCTTCACCACAAAGAGCCTACTCCCCGCCCACTGGGTCCATACCTTCGCAAGTACAGAGCATCCTACACTATACCCCTAAATCCTAAACCC